CGCAATTGTTGGAACAAATTCAGACGCCCTGAGCGATGAAAAGGCGGCGCTCATTCAAATGCCTCTCACGATGAGGTGACAAAACATAAAAGTAGATTTCGCATTCACACTCAGGATGTCAGACAGACACTTAGGCAGGCTACTGAGGAGTCTAATAAGGACAACCCTTGGTGTACCCTTCATGTACTTCATATCCTGACTTAACATTATGAGCAGCAGACCAGATCCTCATAAACTCTCTGTGCCGCCTAATAAAATTTGCACGACAACATTTGCATTTCAGCAGCCAGTTGTTCTGACATCTGGATCTCCAGACCACAGGCAATTATCATTCAACCACCCTCTAAGATAGGTGATTAACGCCCCTCCCTTACCTATGATAGGTGATTATTAAGTATCTCAGCGAGGAGCAGCACGTGTCCTGAAGTGATTCTTGGAAACGTGAGATCAGTGCAGAGGCAGCACTTCTATAAGCCTCCCAGCCTAATAGCCTTGGGCTTCAGAGACCTCCGAGCCACAGCAAACGGGATTCATGGAGACATGAAGAAATTACGGGATAAATTGATGAAATCAGTAGAAGAACACAGTGTACCGGCTCAAATTAAAATATGCTACTTGGACCTACATGGATGTAAAGCAGTTTGCTTGAGTGGTAGAACAGATGAACCCATGCAGGGTCAACAGATACCAGCAACACATTAGGGCACACAACGTTTATCCTGCATACAGCATGGATGACATAAACTCTCATTTTGACAACAAATCCTATGGCTTACTGTTAGAATCCAACTGTGTCTACGTTTAGATGGTTAGCTTAGCTTAGCATAAAGACAGGAAGCAGAGGGAAACGGCTTTCCTGGCTCTGCCTTTGCTTAATCCATACAAAAGTGTAAAAACATCAAGTTGCAGTTTAAAAAGAGGTCATGTGCCAGACTATTTCTGGGCCTGGAGCAGTGATTATGTGGAGCTAATCTAACCGTCTCCTGGCTTCATATTTAATGAGCAGATATGAAAGTGGTATCGATCTTCTTCTCCAAATCTTGGCAAGAAAGCAAATAAGTGTATTTCCCTTAAAGTCTAGGTATTCTTTTGCCACAGCAACACTTATCAAGGCTGCTGCTGGCAGCATGTTGAGGAAGATGTGCTTTGGATCCATTTGGCTGCATAGGGCCGTGTAAATCATAAACCTAAAACAGATTTTAGAATAAATTAAATGAGTGAAAACATTGACTGCGCACAATTTTCATCACTAACTTAAAGGGTTTTGCTATAATGTGCAAAACAATTCTCCCATGTGTCTCCTCGAGTCTCTCTCAGTTTTGATTAAAAAAGTCAAATATTAAAAATGTGCCCTGGGGAGTTTCCTGGTAAACAAACAAATGTTAAGTTTACATTCAGTGTTACTCAATTAAACACGTTGAGGTTTTGTTTGAGGGGTAACAGACATGTTGAGTGTATTTACTTCCTCATAAAACATTTGTAATCCCGTATTTTTATAGGGAAGCGCCAGTACCACTTTCTTTAGGACCAAATAGAACTACTTACATATTGGTACTTGCCATTACTAGTACTGATATGAGTTTAACCATTACAGTTCTAACAATGACTCTGAAAACATGTTTTATTGTAATTAGATGTTCCTCACTTTGACTGTAACAAATTAAATGTTGCTAATGTTTTAAAAATTGCTGAAATTATCTCCAAACTGCTGACATTACGTATCCACCGCCTACCTGCTCAAACTAATGAGAGGTTACGTAACATCACGCTGCTGTAAAGTGGTATCGGGGGTTCCCGCTCTTTTAACCAAATCATTTTCCAGGATATTTTCCAGGAATTCTTTTCTATAGCACTTCCTTAAAAAAGGTCATATGAGCTGCGGTTTCAGGCCAATTGACAATATTACTAACACAACTAACAGTTCAAATCAAGTAGAGTTTATTTTGTTTTACAGAAAATTAGTACCGTTAACACCACTGTGCATGTATTTATCAGCCATAGCTACAAGAAATGTGATCACTAATAGACTGTATGCATGTAGATGAGAAAATATCACAAGAAGTCAGTTCCATTCTGCATCTGGTCAACCCGGTTTGAAGTATCACAGAGTTTCTCCTACAGACAGTTTCAAACAAAATACGCAGGGAGGGCTAAAAACAAATCAACAACATCAATTATTTCCAGGATATTTGGTCATTTTTATCAATTTCCAGGTGTTTCCATGAAGGTCCCAGGACCCTGTTTATGATCACAGGTTTGGGTACAAGAGCACAGTATCGTACCGATACTGATATCGGTGCATCCATAATTTTTCGCATCCAAAGCAGGAACCTACTCTATACCGTTCCAGAGGTCAGGAACTCCACAGGGAACCTTTAAGAGACGCCAACAGACAAACTGACCTCTGAAGATTGACAGCAGTCAGTTTGTTTAGCCACCTTGAGAGGCTGATATCACCGAATGAGACAGTTGATTTGACGTCTGGTTAACAAGCCGAGTTCCTTCTGTCGAAACTCTGAGAGACCGCGGTCAATAGAGAGCTGCAGTGATCTTGATTGGCAGTTTACTTCACAAGGGAAGCGAGGTGACTGCGCTGAGCCTCCATTCACACAAACTCACACTAAACAAAGCAGACCTTCACGGTCAAGCAGATTCACATGACGACCTACACCGTTCAGGGTCACGGGGATTGAACCTGCGACTGTTTTAGTTACAGGAACCTTTTTATCTACTTGTCCACTCTGCTGAATAACATCACAGCTATGCTATTCCTAGAAGTGAATTAGTCTTATTTCAGCTAAAAGCCATGCAATGTAATACCCACTGAAGGTATTAACTTAAGAGGATAGAGAGGGGCTAAGGAGAGAGAGTCATCAGTTTAAAATAAAAAAATAAACACACACATATACTCCCCCCCACCAACTCCCATATTAATTACAGCTTCTCCACAGGCTGACAGCTGCTGACCCACAGCAGGTATTCGTCAAGTGAGATTTAAACCGAAAACTCCTGAAATAGCATTTCTGTCATTACATCATAGTAAAAATGTGCACTTAGTTTGGTTCTTAAAATGAAATTATATCCAGGAATATTTATCAGATTTCAACATGATGTCAAAAAGCTTAGATTACATCTCCAGAAACAAAAAAGGAAAAAACTGATCTTCTTTTTCCAGTGAGGTTCTGGCTACAGTTTTACTGCTAAAGAAGAAGATCCCATGTGGCTGCAAGGTTATCAGCATCAACCAAACAAATAACGGCTGCACACTAACTCCAAACCACAAATGAATATATAAATGGACGATGTCTTTTGATCCTGGTTGGATCTTTGTCAGGTCAGAAATGTTTTAAAAGTGGATAAAAACAGACAGAGTTGTTTATACTGCTGCCAAAAGAGCCCTCACATCTGTTTTTTAATGTGAACCAGTCAGAACCCATTAAATCCCACATTTAAAACTGAATGTCTGATTTGTGGCTAAGTAACCGGTGCCTCATATCAAACATAATTAATTCAACTTTTATGCAATAAGCTAGCGATTATTCTCATTATTTATGAACCAACTTGTTATTTTCTGTATTATTTTATATAACTGACTAATTGTTTGGTCTGTAAAACCAGAGAAAATTGTGAAAAATGCCAGATGACGTCTTCATACAGCTGTTTCTGTCTCACCAACAGTCCAAAAGCCGAAAGAAAATAACTTTTCTGTCCAAAAATGACAAGAAAACAAGCAAATCTTCAGATTTGAGAAGCTGTAACAAGAATACGTCTCACATTTTTGCTTTTTAAAATGACTTAAAATAATTAATTAATTATCAAAATAGCTGCTGCGGATTAATTTTCAGTCAACTGACTACTCAGTTAATTGTTTCAGCTCCAGTATGAGCTGCTGGAGCTGTGTGAAGACACAATGAGTGATCATTTTAGTTGATAATGTGGCCTTAATTCAGGAGTTTGTTACTGTTCTTTCTGACATGCAGGTCACGTTTGATTTTATTTAGATTAACATCTGTTATAAAGTACATCGACACAATTTAACAATGCAAATAAAGACTGATGAAGAAAAAGATAGTAAGTGGACCATTTTAAAAGCTAAAGAATTAACTTCCATGCTTAACTTTTTACTCCAACACAGGCAAGAACTCCTAAAAGTTGAGAAAGTTAACCAGCAACTGATCCGATAATCCATTAATCTCTTTATAAACTATTTCTAATATTCCAGACTTTTAATAATTCCAACTACTTTTCTCTATTTTGTTTCACTGCAGAATGAATATATTTGGGGTTTGGAGTGTTCGTCTGATAAAACAAGTATTTTTAAGATGTCACCTTGAGCTCTGACTAACATTTTAAAGACTAAACAGTGAATAGATTCACAAAAATAACCCTTAGTTGCAGCCCTACCATGGTAAATCATAGCAAGTGGACCTGGAGTTTTAGGTCCAGTCCTAAAATACTAATCTAAAGGAGGCAGAAGGAGCTTTCAGTGTGAACACAGCCTTTGAGTCTGGGGGGGTCACAGGAGCCAAATGGTCTCCATGGTGCAGCCTGGCACAATGATCTGGCATAAAGCTGGTTGGACAGCTGAGTGGATGAGTATGAGCATTCAGGGGCTTTTTGCAACACACAGTATGGCTGCAGAATAAAACACCTTTATGGTCTGATATAACCCTGCACGGAGGCTGGAGCTGGAGTGTTTGTTTATATGTGTTTGTGTTGGTGGCTGCCTGCCAAAGGGTGCTCACCAACCACCAACCGATACAGTGGTTTACCCACCTTTTATTTACCACTACATCAAAAAACAAAGGCTGAATGAGCATCACGTTAGGCAGGGCCTGCATGGGCATCCACTTGGCATAATGATACAGCTCTCTGCTGGTAAGCCGCTGTGCAGCCGTAACGTTAGCAATCTGATAAATGACAGCCTGCACAGTCTGGCGCAATGGGGACGCTTAAAAAGTTTAAAAGGACACCAGTATGGCATGCGTGCAGTGCCTTACCTCGGGATGCAGTTCGGGGAGGATCCATCTATCTCCCATGTTGCAAACAGGTTCATGGGCACCGGTCTGTTGAGAGCCCCGCTCCCGGGGAAACTCAACCGGCCACTTCGCTCCGCCATGGTCCGGGCTGCGGGCGGGACTGTCCGACACCGAGCTGGGGGATCTGTACGCGGCACACCAGTGCGGGTCTCCTGCGTGTAAAGTAGAGCCGTGACACTGCTCACGTCAGTGCGATGTGAACGCCGGAGGACGAGCTCATTTTCTCCGTCCTTGGTCGGGCCGGGTGGGGTGGTGGGGTGGGGGGCAAGTGTCGGTGTGCGTCCTTTCTGCGCGGCGGAGGAACTGCAGTGGGAGCAGCGCAGAGGAGTGAACGGACCGACCGCTGAGCTTGTTGTGCCTACCACGCTGCTCCGAGGGTATGAGGGGTGATTAGTGCCACACAGGCGCGAAGAGGAGGGGAGGAGAGGCAGGCATGAGACAGCAGCATGGTGTTTACTGCTGCAGGGGTTCAACAAAATATAAATATGATTAATAGTAGCTTTGTGTGTCAGTGGTTTCCAATTAAATTTGTTCTCCTTTCATTAGTAATTAGAGTTAATTAGACTTCTGTTTTCTTTTAAAATGTATTTGAATATCAACACAAGAAGTCAATTAAATCGCAACAGACTACAAAACTAAAGGCTTGTAAAACTAAATGTAAAATCCTGTAAAGGTCCATCTTCTGCCACTGGTGGGAGAATATTTGTGCATTAGATCGGTGCTTGAAATGGGCCGATGCTCACCAGTACTGATTTTTGTCCACAGGAGTACTTTTTGATTACCACTACTTCTGTTGAGCATGGCCGCACCCACCACTAAGGTGACCAAAGTATTGTCTTTCCAAATAATTAACTTTACTTTGATGCTTTGATGCCCCCGAACCCAAGTTCAGTTTGTGTACCTCAGTATTTCTAAAACCCAGTGTACAGCAGTCCTAAATGTCCTTGTTAAAAAGGATAAAGATTTAAGGTTAGGGTTGTGTTTAGGGATAGGGTTGTACTGGATTAGGGTACTGAAATGTTGATGTTATTCTTATTTTAACTGCAATATTACTACAGTTTCTCACATCTCCTCCAATGCCCAATGATGCCTACACAAGCTACCTAGCAAAAACGTTATTATCGTAACATAAAGTAGTTTGCTTTTTAAAGCTGATAATAATACATTTCTTACTGTTGGTTATCTGTTATTGTGTTATGTATATGTATAAGTGTTTTCAAAATCATCTTCCCACAAACATCCTACTCCTACACTTTCACATAGGCTATAACAGAAAAAGGTTATTTTTGTATAATTCTCATATTACCAGTAAAAAAAAAAAAAAAAAGACTCCCATCAATCTGAAATCTGATTAATTGGTATAATTAGACAAACCCAAATGAACAGATGGAAGCTTTAAGATGCTTTTAACATGATAATAATTGGAGTCCATTGAACTCAGTCTCAGTGTTATGAACTGGAAAAGAGGAGGAGCTGAATTATTGAAAACTAGCCTAACTAACTATAAAAAAGTAGCCCAGATTATCACAACCCACCGTAAACATTATGCAAAGATAACAAAAACAAAAAACAACAATAAAACTAGTTCAACCAGGTATAAAACCAGACAACAATGGTGCAAATATGTCAGAACAGATCCTATAGATATATATAACAATATTTTGTCATTATAATGTGAAACAGAGCAGATATTTCTCTTATGGTGGCATTGATTTAATTTAAAGCTTCATTTGTGACTGTGCTCTCAGTCTGCTTCAGCTGGCATTAAACACCCTCCATACCCGTTCCCAGGAAAAACGTCATTGAAGGTCTCCGCGCTGCATTTTGCCGACTTTTTTTTTGGCAGGTGCAGCCGGTGCAGGTCTGGGCGGATCCATGGACACAAACCATGTCGTCAGATTGACTCCAGATTGTCACTGCACACACAGTATTCAGAGACACAGGGAGCTCTGCTGCCAATTTAACCACCTTCACATGTCACATTGCTGCTCCTTAAAGCTGAAAACCCTCAGAGAAGTGTTTGTTTTTCTGCCTTTTATATGCATTTATTTTAATTACTGCATGTTTTAATGTGTTTTAATGTGTTTATTTGTTGTTTTTCTAACAACAATTAAGGGATTTTTGAGCATGTCACCGACCAAACTACATAAAGAACACGTTTCTAATTATTAATTAATTAATTCATATTTATTATAATACAATAATAATATTGATCACAATTATGCACAGCCATGTTTTCTCCCTCATAGCCATCTGTTACCTTACTACAAGCAGGCACTGCCATCATGTGGTTGAAGCTGAACACGTTGGCGGAGCAGTGACCTTCATTTTTCTCCAGTACACAATTAAATATCTTGTGTTTCAGTAAGTTTTCGAGCAGGCTTGCAGACAAACACGTTTAACTCTACACCATCGTTCACCATAGAGGTTTTTCAGGGACTGTAAGGGATGGCCACTTTAAGGATTAGTTTGTGCAAGTGGATAAGCTGTTATCAAATTAATCCATGGATAGCTTATCTGCAAGTGTTTTATCAATAACCTCTACTCTCTTTTATTATTTGTTACCTACTGAGCAAATGGAAGAATATTATACCAAATGTTTGTTAACTTCAGTGGAAAAACGTTTATAGAGAGCTGATTTATTTCTTAGGCTTTCTGATACTAGATCAGTACAGGATATTAAAATATCCATCATTGAAGACATCATGTACAACAATTCTTTTCATATCCTGCCATGCCTCGTTTTATATTCTCTTCCAGTATAGCTCAGTTTTGATGGATAAGTCACTATATTTTGCGAGTTTTACAAGTTCTGTGGTGGATTTGTAGCAGCTCTTTTAGTGATTTTGGCACACAGCTTCTGTTGTGTGTCCCGTCTACAGAATATTTATACTCCAGCAGGCTTTAAATTGAAAATGAGATAACTGTTTTACACATTTGAGTGTCATTTTAATTTTTCTTTAACAATAAATACAGAAATACAGTTTAACGTCCCTTTAAGGCAGGGAGCCAAAACTGAAATCATTGTGAAGAGTCAAAATCATTCCAGGATGCCAAAGTCCCGTAATTGACTGCCATGCTCAGATAATAAAAAATAATTTGTGATCCTACATATTTATTGAGCATTTTAGCTCACAAAAAAACCAAACCATTACTTAATAATACAGTACTGTTACATGATGTGCTGCTTTATTTGTTTCACACTTGATTTGCATTATTCGAGCACTGACAGTCGAGACTTTTATTTGTGTTTGTACCTGAGTTTCACATTTGTGTGGTAATGACTGCAGGACAGAAATAATTTAGACAGATTTAACAGTTTGTGAAAGCTTTATTCGGTTAAATTGCAGAGACTTTATTCAATATGTACGAGTCTCTTGACCCACATTCACAAAATATTAAAAAAAAAAAGTCACCATTCATTTCTGGACATTACTAAAAAATTAAATGACAATATGCAGTGAGTGTTTTTATTAGTATCAAATCAATAAACTTATTTAGAGACTTCCTGCTGAAATAGACACACTTGTGTTCTGACCCACGACACACCACAGGCCAAGGCTGGAGATAATGTACATGAACGCAAAGAAAATTAATCACAAAACACGAGAAGATGTCCTGATACAGCAGTGTTGGGGAAAAAAAGCCCGTCAAAAATTAATACCAGATTCCATAAGCATTACACAAGAAAGCTGAAATAAACCACCAACGGAGACGCTCGCATTTAAGTTCACATATCAGGGCAGTGAATGCATCACGTGACATCAGAAGCAGAATCACAGTTTTATGACAATGCCAAGAGTTCGCACTACAAACAAAAAAACATACTCAACATTTTGGGGAATGAATACCATTCCCACCTAACCTTGAACTGCTCTGAACACTTCAACAAAGCACAGGGGAGTGGATGGAATCGTAACATGGCTGACAGCTAGGACAGGCTGCAAGACTCTGACGGGGTATCATCACTGATCAAAATGTTTTCCCTGTCACTTGGTATTTCATCAAAATATGAAGGGGCTTAAAAAGGTGGAGTTCTGTAAATCATGAGGGGGAAAAAAAAATCTTGTGGAAGCACATCCTAACAAAAAGAACAAAGCATAACAAGCCAAATGTGGGCACATTAATGACTGAAGATCTTATTTCAAAAGAAGCCATGTAAAAGGCAATTTCCTCCCCTTCATTAAAAATCAAAAGCCACCATTCAGGCCTATGGTGAGCAACTATCAGTCTATTTTACGGCCTACGGGTGTACCAACCTCAGTGTTTGCTGTCTGCTGAGGCAGAGCGGGATCGTGAACGTGAACGAGATCGGGAGCGAGAACGAGAGCGGGAGCGGGACTGTTTGTTCTGAGCCGGGGCGGGTGAACGCGAGCGAGACCTGGAGCGGGACTTGGAACGAGACTTGGACCTGGAGGGGGATCTGGCAGCAGCCTTGCCCCCTCCTGACGACCTCCTCTCTGGGGTGCGACTAGCAGACCTGGACCGGCTCCTGGAACGGTTGCGGCTCCTGGAACGACTCTTTGAGCGAGAGTAGCTTCGGGAACGGGAGCGACTCTTGCTGTGACTGTTGGAAGAAAAAGAATTTAATTTTAATATTGGGCAAAGATATTTTTTTAACACATTTAACATTTGGGGACATAAGCTCATTTGTTTTCCTGTCAAGAATTAGTTGAGAGGCTCAAAATGACGAGCAGGTGATTAGCTGCTGGCCCAAGTAGGTCATTTTAAGCATTGAAACTTAAAATGGAAAAAGAAATAGCTCGCCTTGTTTAAAGTTTACACAATCAGATGTAAAAATTATTTTCAGGTGCTGCTAGGCTGCTCTTTTTATATATATAAAAAATTCAACTCTTCCAAAGTGTTTAACTATTCCTTTACTAAAAACCCATTACAGGACATGTACATGAGAATAAACGCCAAGTTTACCAGGTTACAGGTTTCTACATCATTACATAATCCTTCACCTGCTACTATTTAACAAGAGTCCTGAAGAAAAATAGCAAAAACAACTCACCTTCTGCTATCTTCAAAGATCTTCAGCTTGCGTCCATTCAGTTCTGTCCCATCAAGCTTGGCGATGGCGTTCTTCATGTCACTTCGAGATGCAAACTCAACCACTCTGTATTGAAACAGAAACTTTTATTAATTAGGCTCAAAATCTGAAAACAATAAGCATTTGAGAATTTTGAGAAGAGCAACTCACCCTTCATTTTTGTTGGGTCTGTGAGCGTCCACAAAGGTAACTTCGCCTGCTTTTCTCATCAGGTCTTTCAGGTCCTGTTTCAAAGCATAATGTAGGATTAGTGACAAAGATCAAAACATGGAGGTGCCAGTGAGAGCCTTTTCAGACCTGGAGGGAGAGAAATGAGCAAGCAGCAAGACACCAGCACACACTGAAACTTGGGTTACCTAATGCTGACTTTTGTCACTGTGATAAGCTCCCATTTCAGTGGAGGACATGTAAACAAAAGAGCCACTGAAAATGCTTTGTGTGGACAAGTGTTGCCTTTACTCAAACTGTTTTAAAGTCCCATTAAATGGTTTCATGAATTCGCTTTAAGTTGTTTTTAGCTCATGAGCAAAAAACAAATTTCAACTCCAAAATGAGACGCCTGAAAGGTAACACGACAGTTAGGGTTTTCATGTATTTGAGGATAAAACTTGATGTTTTCCTGCATACAAGCTAATATTGGATTTTGTGTCTGAGTATGTGAGATAAACCTGTGTATTTATTGGTGGCTGGATGACAACAGTACTATGGGTAAGTGGACAACAATCTGACCTAGAGTTTCTTACTTGGCTCAAAAGTCGTTTATGTGTTTACATAGTAAAACTGCCCCCTTCCCATTTGAGACTGTAACTCTACACCCCTTTACCACCCAACCCTGAACAAACCCAATCACATGAGTTTTATGCTACTTACCGCTCCAAACCCAGGAAGATATTATCATAGAGCCACTTGTCCAAATAGCAAATGGGAACCAATGCAGTGTTAAGCCCTTGAGAAACGACCTCGGCCTTGACTCAGCATCCGGCCTCCACAAGTAAGGAACCACCAGAGAGCAAGTAGGGGGAGGGGTGTACGCCCGACTCAACACCCCCCCCAGCTCCATCAGCAACAGAAAAAGACCCAAACGGGAGAGTGTAGGGACCGTGGATTTGAGGGGGGTTACAGCAGTCGGGGATGCCAGCCCACAGAACCTCCAGACTGTGGCTACGGACCTCCTAAGGCTACCGTATCCTGCGCTAGACCACTTTCACCCGCTACGGGGCCCAGCCAAGACTTTAGACCGGCGGCAACTGCGTGTAAGGAGAGGCACCAAATGGACACTATTCAGAAAAACAACCAGGAGAGGGCGCTACACACTTCTGACATCTCCGTGGAGGGTGTGCATTCACCTCTGATATAAAAAGGAAACCATATCAGAGCAGCTGTTTAAAAAAAACAGTTAATTGTTTTTGGTTAGAATGCCCATCAGCAACTAACGTGCTTTGGTCTGGGGAAAAATGGAGATGGAGATAAAGTAAAAAAAAAAAAAAAGAAGAAAAAGAAACTGGGGGCTTTCTTTTGTAAAAGGCCAATTAGCTCTTTTTTGTGTCATCTGACTGGAGACAAATTGACCCGGCCTGATTAAATGAATGCTGCTGCATTTAAATAACATGTAAAAACAGGGTGATTTTTTTTAAAAGCCTGTGTTGTAAGATACATAAACATGTTCAGTAATCTCTTACCTGCCAGCTAATCCGTGAAGAGAGGTTCTCCACAATGAGCCTATGGTCAGTTCTCACAGGAGGTCCATACCTGTCCAGTCAGCAAAAAAGAATAAGAAAAAGACTTTAATACGACATTTTCTAAGAGGCGTTTCTAAAAATTCACGTGAAATTATTCTCACAGCAAGTTGTACGTCATGTTCGCTGCTGCTGTTGTATTTACTTAACCTGTGTCAATATTTGAATTTGATTCAAAAGGTGGAACAACAGGTTCATGTTAATGACTTAATTTTATTTATGCTTATTTATTTTTGCCATGTCAAATTTTGATTAGTTAACTGAAGTCCTTACTTTTTAAAGATACTAGACACAAGATCACTGTATGACTGTATGTGAAAATCTACAAAGTCTGAAATATTCACATAACACTGGAAGAATTATGGTGTCAGAAACCTCTTTTACCGTACTGGAAATCTGACAAAATTCTCTTTTCACCTTTGACTGAAACATAACATGGGTAGAAGCTTTAACTAACTAACTAACTAACTAACTAGTTAGCTACGGTTTCAGAAAGTCAGTGTAAAGCAAATGTACCTGGAGCCACTGCTGCGAGATGGGCGATAGCCGCCACCTCCACCACCGCCGCCGCCACCGCCACCACCACTGCCGCCAAAACGTCCCATTCCAGGGCCGCCACCTCTTCCTCTTCTGGAGCGTGCGTGTTCGATGGTGACCCTGAAAAGAAGAGCGATAAATTCTTGGATTAATACCATCAGATGAATTCAAAATTAAGTGTTATGAATGTCTTTGAAGGGAAAATTTAGCCCACAACACTGTAGACTGTACACTGTAGTTTATAATTATTTGTGGGTAGATAAAAAATATATTTAATTTATTGGATTATTCTTGTTTTAGGGGGCAATATGCATTATTAAAAAAGATAAACACTCCCCTGCTTTACAGGAAAACAGAAATACTGTAATGATGTAATCTAAAGACAAATGCGGAGGCTGAAGCATCAACAGTGAATAACGAAACCACTGCCAGGACTGACAGTACACATGCTGGTGATTTTACTGCAATATTGGCACATTTCCTGATTCAGTTGTAAGCCCTGCATTCAGCTAAAACTCTGGATAAAATATCTAGAACAACCTACAGACAGATTCAGTCACTTAATTCTATCCTCAGAAAATGAAGAGTCATGCTGGGAGTAGTCATGGCTTGGAAGTTTTTCAAAAAAGGAGGTTAGCTAGTATAAGTGTTCAGGAAGCAATGAAAAATGTGTACCAGAGGATGGTGGACATTAGTTAACTTTACTATGATGGTAGTCAAATGCTGCATTACTTTGGTTAAAGACCCACCATTTAGTATGTATGAACATGCAGTATTGGGCTCAGAACAAAAGGAACCATCTAAGATTACATCATCACCTTTCACTGCACAATTCTTTGCCATTCAACTCGTACACAGCATCATCTGCATCTCTGTGGTCGTCAAATTCCTGAGAAGAGAAGAAACAAAAGGGTTATTTTCTAAAAGACAAAAAAGAAAAAACGGGACAGAACACAAGTCCTACAAAAAGTGGCCAGTCACACTCACCACAAAGCCAAATCCATTCTTCAGGTTAATTTCCCGAATTCGTCCATATCCCTTGAAGAACTTCTCCACATCTCTCTCTCTGGCGTGCGGGCTCAAGCGGCCGATGAAGACACGACAACCACTCATTGTTATCTCCTGAAATGGGAAAATAAGACTTGGTAAACATTAAACCAGGAGTGGAGTAAAGCTTAATATTTGATGCATCAAGGTCAGTATGTTGACTTTACTTAGCCAATGGATAATTTTAGACAGTAACAGTAAGCGGTCATATCCTTAGCTTAATTAGTAACAGATCTATTACTGATGAGAAAAACAGTCAAGCAGGCATCCCCACTTCTTAACGTAGCTTAAGAATCAAAAATCTAAATGTGCATCTATAATATTATCTATTTCGTGAACACTATGTAAATTAGTTTCTTGTTTATGAAACCTTTATGGTCTATTCCTGAAAAAAGGTCAGAAGAGAGTAACATTAAGCCAGGTCTAGTCTGAGAACAACTCAAGTGAAACTGAGCAAACAGGATCAAAGACACATGATAATCTAGTTCTGGTTGAACCAGTTTCAGTGTAGTTTACACACCCAGCCCCCTCCCCAGTTTATTGGGTACACTTCATGCAAAAGCCCTACAAGGAGTCCTAGCTATATGAATGCTATAGGGCTGCACAATTAATCTATTTTTTCCCCCAATCTAAATCACAATATGGCCAATATATGTGATTAATATACTATTGTAGATTTTACCTCTTTGAAAGGGGTAATTTGTGGGAGAAAACAGCCCAAAACTACACTTTAGTACTGTACTTCTGAAGAGATGCTACAGGCCTACAGATCTTGTCCTCCAGATGTAAGAAACCACCTTTGTTTGATACAGGCCCACAAAAATGTCACATCATGAGTTTTTTTTTTCTCAATGAAAATTAAAATTGGGACGCAGAAATGCTTATTCCCACTAACTGTGAATTATATAGCAATCGCAATATGGTGTTTTTACCATATTGTGCAGCCCGAGAAGGTTAAAATGTTCAGGTTTTAATGGACCTTAACTCACCAATGTGATCATTTTACTAGCTGTACTGCATTTTTGAGAGGATGTCTAACTGTGTTGCACTAACAAGGTGTTTTTAATACTTAATCTTTAGGGAGGAAATCATATTAAAAACATCTCAGTAACACAATACAATGAAAAAAAACAGCACTGCAAACTACGGCCTCAAAAATAACGATTAAATCAATTATATACATTATTAAAAAAGGGTAGTGTTTTTTTTTAATACGTCTAATAATTGTTACGAACTAAATTAACGTGATCTCGGTTTTAATCATCAACAGCTTGGGCCCAACTTCAGCCTGTTAGCCCTTCACTATGAGGACCCGCTAAGCTCAAATACACCTTAAAATCACGGGAAACTCTAAAGACGTACTAAATCCCATCCTAATTTCGCTCTTTAATGTGAACACTAATTATTTCAAGCGGTTTTTGTTTTCTTTTTAAGACGATTTTTTATCTCGCTTGCTTGCGTCCATTACGGCTGCAGCTCTGCCTCGAGGTCGACTTCAGCTAAGGCGAGCTAACGCGAGCTAACGTTAGCCGCCGACCGTTGGCTCCACGATTGTTCCAACTGTTGAGGATGCGCGAGCTCCACGGTTGGATATATTTAAATAACTTTAAATAACGTTAAATTAAATCACATTCTTACCTAATGGGTGGGTGGGTTTTCTTTTTCTTCCTCAGGGCGTCTCCGGTGTGGTTGTTTACCTCGCTGGTTCTCTGCAACTTTAACGGCGTCGTCTCGGCTCCACTCGACTATATCAAAATGGCGAGTGAGTCTAAAGAGCGGGGAACAGGAAACGCTGCTGCTTCAACGTTGCCAGTTTGGGAGGAGGGGGGTTGGTCGTTAACTGCCGCAGTTAATACTTAACTTGGTTAGAGTTTACGACTTGTGCCCCTTTGTCCTTGAGATAGGTATTGCAGAGGTTTTATGAACGTAACGCAGTGAAGTAAACGGCGGCGTCTCTACATGAAATAAACAAAGTAATAAAGATTAATAAAGAAAATGAGCGGAAACGTCAAAGAGGGGGATACGACGCGGGTGTGGCAACCCGCTTCAGAGATTACATAGGGAGGCTAATGTGAAAGTTCTGTTGCCAGGTAGGGTAGTAACTAGTTTGGGGAGTAACGGATTACATGTAATGTAGGATACATAAACAGGTAAGTGAAATCCATTAGAGTTACAGGAAGAATTGTAATCAGATTACAGTTACATTTAGTAAAAATGGGGAGGAGTTAGCAGGATTAAAGTTTTAAAATACTTTTTTTTTAAATACACTGAGCCCATTTTCTTTTCTAAGGTTACATTGTTCTGTTGTTTTATAGAAAACAACTGCATAAATATTTCTTATTGATATTTATTTTCTCTGTTGTCTTTAATTGTTTATTTGGTGTAAAAAAGAAAAGAAAGAGAAAAGGCACATTACTTTAATATTGGGATGTTTGGATTAGGTTACTTACTACATTCTTAATTGTATTTGGATTACATTTTTAAAGTATATATAGTAGTAGTAACTTAGTATATTATATCTTATATTAAAATTGATAACTATATATTGCTATTATACTAACATTTAGGCATAGTGATGCTGTCTGCTTTGTCAACAATGTAATTTTCTATTTGATACAGCATTATATTGATTTCTATATATTGCTCCTTTTTTTAATGAAAAAACACAAAATCCTTGATAAGATTTTTTTTTTAAACTTGTGACTGAGATATGTCCAAAGTGGGACATTTTAGACTTAAAAAATAAACTTGTCTTTGCTCTTTGGAGGAGCAAAAACCTTAAAACACATCTTTAGCATTTCTCTACTGCAGTTTCTTCTTGGCCAGTATATACAGAGACAATTATACAGCTGACATTGGCCAATATATTGACCTGGGAATGCCTGTTGTTGTTTTTTTGTTGTTGTTTTTTGGCTTATCCAGTAAAAGCAAAGTTAAATACCTGACAACTCAAAGTACTTGCTAGAAATTATATATCAGTCCCCATATTGTCATAAAAAGTCCTGCTCACAGCCTAAAACACCCAGAGGCGTTAAAACCACGGCAAAATCTTACAGTGTATGTTGTTAAATTACCCACCCAAACTCATATTTTATTCTACAACACAAGAAGCAAAACATTTCTTTGTTATTCTGTCTCTTTATTCTAGTACTATATCATCATTCTTGAAATCATCTTGGGTTAAGAAAAGGAAATACAAGGTTAAGGTTGACACAGTACGATAGAAAAAAATACCTGTCTGGTCTGCTCTGTAGAAAGTACCAAAGACTTTTGAGCATGTGGATACTGATCACTGCACAGCTCCTGTCGACTCAAAATATACCAAAAATCTGAACACAATACACTTGGTGAAATGTAAGACTACATCAAAAAATAAATAAGAATATAGCTTATTTAAGAACACGAGGAAGAAGTCAAATTATTAATTTGCACTTTCGACCCCATTTATGAAGGTGTTGAGCAGGAATGAGATGACTGCCACTATTACAAGTCATGTGATTTCCTTCCTGAGAAAGCTGTCCATAAACACACTACAGCAGGAGGGATGGGAAAAGATTCAAATCACAGGTGGCCTGGTTTACTGAGTGTTTGCATTTTTAAAAAAAAGCAAGCGGCATGAATTAAAATGAGGGAGCCGATGTTTGTCATCATTATCATCATCATAATTACCACCATCATCAGTATCCGAGGGGGGAAATAGTCATTAATGGGGTTGTTCACCTGCATGTACGCTAAAACCACAATGACTACAAATAACTTTTTCCTTTATGGGATTCTGATCTTCTACGACAAACCAAACTTCAGAAGGACTTCTTAAAAAGTTTTTTTTTTTACTATCATTAAAATGCTCTGTATCTATAAACATGTCACAGTTCAGTTCACAGTTGAAATAAATCCAACATAAGAGTATGGTCTTAAAGGAAAAGTTTGACATTCTGGGAAACATACTTACCTAGTTTCTTGCTGAGAGTTAGATGTCTGTGGGATCAATATGAAGCTTCAGGCAGCAGTTGTTTAGTTTAGCTTTAAGAAACTGGGAAACAACTATCCAGGCTCTGTCCGAGTGTTAAAATAAAGAAGAGCCTACCAGCACCAATAAAGCGTACTAATTAAAATGTAAAATCTTGGTTTTTATGAATCATTATTTGTTATTAATCACACACAAAAATGTGTAAAAACAAGTTCCTGGAGTCTGTGCTGTTCTTATACACTTTGGTTTTTGTATAGATTAAACAAAACAACATATAATGAGCTTTAATGGGGCTTTTATGAAGATTTTACCACCTTTAAAGAGAGCCAGGCTAGCTGTTTCCCTCTGTTTCAGATAAGCTAAGCTAACTGGCTATAGCTTCATGTTTAACGTGAGAGTATCAATCTCAGTCTCAGCAAGAAACAAATAAGTGTATTTCCCGATATGTAGAAACTATTCCTTTAAGGATTACTGTAATTTATAGCAGAATACTGATTTTCTTTTTGAATGGCAGCTCTGTCTTTATCTGTTTAATGGTGAAAAAAAGGTATTAAGACCAGCATCACCAAGCCTGGAAGTTATCGCACCGTTATAATATAAAGACCATTTGGATATAAAAGCGTAGACAAAAATCGTACTGGGTCACAAAGTCAATAATTGTCAGTGTAGCAGCTTGACTTTCTTTGTGTCTCTGAGATGTTCACAGATAGCGACCGGGCTGCCAGAGGCTGTCTGAACAGCAACTATTTAAACTGAACAGTATTTGCCCATGATTGTTTACGACCGTCTATATATAGATCATTTCTTTTAGGAAAAGGAGGAGAAATACTTGATGTGATCAGAAGTGCGGCGTCTCAGTTTACTTGGATGTCAAATTCTTTCAACATGCAACAGTTTTACCAGTTCAGACTGACATCGGGGGAACAATCAACTCCTCTTTAACCAGGTTAACCCTCTAAAATGGCCAAAGTTAACTACTTATGTTCCACACGAAGAAAGCGGAGTCAACGATATCAACTGAAGGCCACATTGAGGTTATTGAACGAGAACTTGTTGAAATTGAGCAGATTAGCAGTTTCCTGGTAATGTCATTATAAGTAGCCTCAGGTGTCTAGTTCTAGTTATTCTACAAAAGCAGCTCTGAAGGCAGGGCAGGGAACAAGGCTGACAAAGGTTTAAAAGTTCATGGAAAAGACAAGTAATAACATACTACAAACTTCAGATCTACAAGTGGTTGTTGTTGAGTCTGAGCCACGCTTCAGTGCTCAGGTCAAAGTTTGCCTTTGTCATCCTGTTGTCTGTAGAAAGGATGGGCAGGGTCTCTGTAGGTCTGAAGTCTCTGGCAGCAGCTCCTTCCATGAAGAGGGAACTCTTCTTTTCCTGCCTCTTTACTCAGAGGACAAACAGTATGAGGTCAGGTGGTTGATCAAGCCTTCTAATGCCACTTGAGCCACTAGCAGAGGTGGCAGGAAGGTCCAGAGGTTAGTGTACGTGGGGCAGTTCACACCCTCGTGTGGCGACAGCTGTGGGAGGAGCCGGTGGCGGCCGCTCCGGACGGGGACGAAGGGTCCTCGTCGCTGGACTCGTTCTGCTCCTCTTTGTGGAGGCCGAGGCTGATGTGGCTCTGCAGGGCGGCCGGGGTTAACCACTCCTTGGGGAGGCAGCTCTGCAGGAAGGGGATGCAGGAGCTGAAGTACGCCAGTCTGTTGACCCAGCGAGGAATCTCCCGTCCACACAGCAACTGAGAAAAGTCGGAACATGTGATATCAGACATATTGTCTTTGTTTTATTTGAAAAATCAAGAATTTGACTAGAAGGACAACAGCAAGTTTAATCACTGAATATCATGGTTTTGTGGATGATTTTATTTCCTATGCTTGTATATAGGGATACATATTTTCTTGGAAGTATATAATAATGAGAAATTTTATAATTTTAGTATTGCACATTGTTTTTTTAAAAATTGTATTTGTTTATTTTTGCAAGGACAGCGCCCCATTAAAAGTACCAGAGTTACCTAACAGCTAATTTGCATCTGTTGTCCCAGGGCAGGCAGACAAAGAACGACTACAGAACAGTAGATACACTACATAAAATAGGACAATACATAAAAGACCATCAGTGAGGCCATGAAGTTGAGGGCCTCAAAAAACACTGGGTCCTACATTTCCCATAATGCAACTCAGTAGGGTCTTTTGTTTTCTAATGCTGCTTAATAAAACTAGACATTATGCTGTGCTACATGCTAACACATCCACAATGACAACATTCGGCAGGTAAAATGTTTAACACGTTATACATCTCAATTTAGCATGTTAGTACAGCTGAGGCTGATGGGAGGTTTTGCAGGTATTTGGTCAGAAACCAAAGTACTAGACAAACTGAAACCCGATAATAAGTTATTATCATTCATCCTGAGGGGGATGTGAATGTCCCCATCCAATAGCTGTTGAGACCTTTTATCCTGCACCAAAGTGGTGGACTGATATTTGCCATCCCTAGAGCCATCCAGCTACCACGGCTAAAATTCTGAAGTGCTGAATCCCATGTTGAGCGAACAGAGCCATAGAAGACATTATACAACTGTTTCCACAGGTACTAAGTACTACTCAGGATGAATAACCTGACCTTCATGTGTAAAATTGGTGGAGTGCCCCTTTAAATGAACTTCTCTTGACATGTAACTTTTTTTTATTTATAGTTGTAACTCTGCACTGTTCTGTGTCTTATAGTTTCTGAACAATACGTACAAGTAGGAACAAAAAAAACCAACCATTTGGCAGTAAAAGCAGCATCAGACTGACCTCAGACAGCGAGGAGGAGAAGTGGTTGCA